TATGGCAGCTTAAAATAGATTTCTATTATTCACCATGCTGACTTCCTACTACTGTTCTTCAGTGCTCCATCTGTTATTAACAGTGGTCCTAAAACTACTCCACTGCTCCAAATCTGGCCAGTGTAAAAATCAAATGAGGATGGAAAATAAGTGACTGGCAGAATGATTTAGAATAAACAAGTAAGGACAGAGAACAAAAACTCTCCTTGAATTGACAGCAGCCAATATTCTGAGCCAGGGACTCTGTTGCCAGTTCCTTCAGTCTGTAGACATCCTCAATGCCCCAAGAAATGAAGCGAATGGAGTGTTTCACCATTTTCCTTTATGGTTCTGGATAGGCATTATTCAAAACTGTAAGAACTTAATTGAAAGGTGTTTGGGAGCTAGCACTAGCCAGTCAAGAAAAGCTGTATTTTCTTGGCACGTATTTATTGGGGACCTCCTATGTGCCATACACATGTACTATGCTGTGGGCTGGGGGTGCAGTGATGAAAAATGTCCCTGATCTCAAGGAGCTAGCTGGCTCATGGGAAGGACAGCAATCAAATACTAACTCCAAAATATAAAATAGCAACAGGGACCATTGCTACAAAGGGATTTATGACATTTTAAAGGTGTGTAATAGGGCAATTAACTAGTACAGGAAGTCTCAGACTATTCCCTGAGGGAATGTTAGTTAAAGGCAGGACAGTAAGGAAAGGTTGGAATTAAGTAGACAAAGCCAGGACAGGAGGAGGGGAGGTAGATAGGGGTAGCAAGGAAAGCAGAGTGGTACAGACCATGACCATCTGAGCAAAGAAAGAGATGTTTATATGCATATGTTTTTGTCATCAGTTCTTCCAGCTCTGGTATAAATGGCTGTGACAGAAAAACATTCAACAAGTGAACAGAATAAATGATCAGTTTTCCGCCTACATTCACATTTGTGAATTTCTTACTGCAGAGTTATCCTCTCCGCGAGTTGATCTATTCTGTAACCAAGCAGATAGCTGTAACCTTTCCTATTTTATGAACCCAACCCTAGATTTTAGGAGTCATAAATATTATAGTTAAGCAAGTAAAAATTAAATTTTCATGTTATCTTGCTGGGTTGCAAAACATCTGGCACCAGTAATTTATCTTCTCCTCTGCAGGAATTTGAAACCTGCTTAGTCTTTATTATACGCCATAAACATGTTGCAAATTATAGTTTTACATAGCCATTGGTTTTATTTTGGGGTAATATAAATTGAGTCACCCACTTACTTTCGCCATTTACTAATTCTCTTTCACAATATAATCCCTCTCTCTTTGCTTCATGTTCGCTTAGAACCCACCCACATTAACTGCAAAGCACATCGCAGCCAGCGCTGAAACATTTCTTTGCAGCATCTGACTCACGTTGTCACACAAGCTGTGACAACTTTACAAACAGAAAATTTTTCCTCTCAGTTTCCAACCTTAAATATAAAAAGCAAAAAGAGTTTTGGTCTGTGACAGGAACCACCAGCTATCCAGTTCACCACTGCCATTAAGTGGTATGTTAGAGAGTGGACAGAACTGAGTTCAAATCCCAACTCTGCCAGGGACTGATAAAAACCAGTTATTTATAAAATTCCATTTTCTTTGCTACGTGTTCACTCAGATCCCACCCATGTTAGTTACTTAAACTCTCTTAGCTTCAGTTTTCTCATCAGAAGAAAAGTGAAGCGCTTATGAAACAAAATGTAGTACAAATGACAGGAGTGATACACTAGATATATACTAGATTCTCTTCCAAGGCAACCAGGGTACAAACCTCCCTGTGAAGGGAGCGACCATGTATTGACTTCTCTTTGTAGGCATGAGGCCATCTTGGGGTCATCTTAAGTACACTGAAAGCCAAATGGGGTGAGAGTTCTCCCTCCTTCCTGGCACCTGAAGTACCATTCTGTGGCCTGTGCTCCTTGGGCTCCAAGTCCCGGGGAGACATGCAGCTGGTCAAAGGGTTGCCATGGCAGCTCAAAGGGAGCATCGGGAGCATCCGATGCAATGGGCAGCATCACCAGCCATTCCTGGGCTGACCCCCCTAAACATCTATGGCTGCCCACTGGGTTTCTAGAGCTTGAATTCAATGATTTAGATCTTAATCCACTCCAGTGTGGTCAACCCATCAAGCACTGTTTCTAAAGATTTTTTTGTTTTGTTTTTGCAGTGCTAGAGATCAAACCCAGGGCCTTTCACATGCTAGGCAAACAACTGAACCCCTGAACTCAGCCCTTAGAGATACATCATGAGGTTACTTTTATATAATATAATTCTCAAAATGCCTTCTTCAAGATGGTTGGTGTTTTTCATTACTCTTCAGTATCCTTGGCAATTCTATAACATGTACTATAGATTCTTGAATGAAGTAGAATTAAGTTCCTCTAATTCCTCTTTGTCTCTGCATTTGTTTCCACCGTTCCCAATCCTAAGACTCCTTTCTTGTACACCAGCTCTTTTCCCCTATACTCATTTCCTCCTTAGGGTTTGTGACATTTCATAACTTTTATTGTCCGCTAGCTACATGCTACATACATGCTACAGACAAGGATTCATCAATGAATAAGACAAGGTCATCACTCGAGTGAAGATAATCATTGAGTGAGTAAGATGTTAACTCGATTAATGCCAAGACAGACGACATAAGCTATCACATTCCTCAAGCAAGGAGGACAGTATCAAGAGACACATAAAAGGCTGAGATTTGATTTTGCATGACATTTCTTTCTGCAATGGTGAGACTCGTTTATTCTATCAGTATTCACTGTGTCCCTCATATGTGCCAGGCACTGTGCAGTTCTGGTGTCCTGGTAATTGCTCCTTATTTCTCTCTTGTATAATAAATAAATGTCTTTTGGAGAATGTGAGCTTGTCTATACCTCGGTGTGTGTGTCACAAAACTGACTTTGTAGTCCATGTACAACTGGAGAGACATTTTGGTACAAGGAGCTAGAACTGACAACAGATTCTGCTGGATGTGGCACATGGTCACTGCTTCTTTGAACTACATTTCTTTCTCATGTTACTGCATTTCCAGAGAACCAAACTGTTGCATTTTTTTCCTTCCATTCTCACTGCTTCTTATAATCTATCACTACAAAGAGCAGCCTTAAAAACAGCACTCAAAGGAGACATTATTTCCTTTCCATTCTCTCTCAGAAAGAGCAACTTAGAATGGGGAGGGGAGAGATTGAGTTTAGGTTAAAGGAATATAAATAAGAAAGACTCTGCTTCTTTCTCTAAGATGTAAACCTCAAAAAGGATTCTTGGTTTTTGAAATGGCCATCACTCCTTGGCGTACACTCAACATTAATATTATCTACCCAGTAATAAAGCCAAGGATTTTTAGAGGGCACTATTAGGGGCACATGGCTGGGACAGCTTTCCTGGATGAATGAAAGTCACAGGCTCATAAATACTTGTGAGATTAGTCTTGTGGCTAGCTAGGACTTAGAAGTTGTGATTCCCCTACTGTATGAGTTCACAGGGAAACTATTGACCTTTTCCCAGACAAGCCTGCAGTGCTCAAAATTATGACTAGAACACGGAAATGACCAGGATCCTAAGGCAACCAAAATAAACCCCAGAGAATTGAGTTAAAGCATTCCTGACATGTGGACACTTGGACCAGATAAGAGAGGCAAACAGGAAGTGCCATTTCCTCCTCTTAAGAATAAATTTTCCATTCAAAGCAACTGTGTGCCTTTTATCTTATGAATCAAACAATTTTCATTAACCCACACAAATTTTCATTGCCTTACTTCATAGGCAGCTGGAGACGTGATTATTTCACTAATGCTTAATATTAGCTATAGCTTAATAATTTAACCACTAACACTGAAAGTCTAGTTTTTTATGGAGCTCTTTTTTTTTTTTTTTTTTTTTTTTGCGGTACTGGGGTTTGAACTCAGGGCCTATACCTTGAGCCACTCACCAACACTTTTTTGTGAAGGGTTTTTTCTACATAGGATCTTGTGAGCTATTTGCCCAGGCTTGCTTTGAACCTCAATCCTCCTAATCTCTCTGCCTCCTGAGTACCTAGGATTATAGGTGTGAGCCACAGGCACCCTTTATGGAGCTCTTTGGGTGTATCTAGTCTAATTTTTCCCAGGTGAGGGGTCTGATTTCCTGCTAATTTCGAGAACAAAAGCCTCAGACATATTGCCCCCATTGAACTCTAGGCAGAACTTTAGGTGGCTGTCACTGCAGTGGGACACGGGGAGTTGCTTGGGTTCCTCTCATTTTTGAAAAGTGTTTCTACCCCAGACTTGAAGCTTCCTTTTTGACCTCACAGAGAACAAAGGAGTCCACCACTGACTATGGACACAGCGTTAGTAATGGCACTGATAATTCTGTGTCTTTCCAAGAGTCAAGGCTGTTTTTTCTCTTTGGTAAACAAGGACTTTGTCCATGTCCCATCCTCCCTGTCTTTTTTAAAGTGTGATTTGACAGCACGAATTCAAAAGGAGACTTCACAATTAGAAAGAGGAGCACAGCATCTGTGCTAACAGCCTCCTTCACTGCTCTAATTAGGATCCTCTTATTCCATTTCTGCTGCTCAGGAGAGGACGGGGGGCTTTTAAATTGGGGCTATTAGAAGTTCTCTTTACACAATGACACCCTCTGTGAAGTGAAGGCTCCAGCAAAAGTCATGCCCACTCTGCAATTTATTTCTTGCGATTCTGAGGAATAATGGTATCTTGTCTCATTTAAAAATAAATCTGAGACTTATTCCTTTTTGCTTTCTCTCCTCTGCCTACTCACATGAGTTTCTGCTTGCCAATTAAGCAAACTTTCCATTATTTAAGAAGGGAGTTTTGATTATAACTGTCCCCTGGTAATAAGACATATTAAGCTGGATTGCATTTCCCCACAACTCTTTTATTGCAGATACAAGGCTAGTTTAAATGAGCTCAGATCTCAGATGTTGAGTTTGCTCTGTAGTGGGGAAGCTTTGGAATTTCCTGAGCTGTGCTCCACTTGTGTGGGACACTCACCTGAAATAACCCGCACGTTCAATGCTCTTAGTTTCTCACAATCACTTCCTCTTAAGAGAACAGATGTAGGCTTGTACTTGTGACCTATTCCAAGAAAAGAAATAAAATATTTAGATGATAACCAGGCACACTCTTCTTGTTTTCCCTATGCTGGTACAAGGAGAAAGGGCCATTCATGGCAGGGCCTGGAACAACAGGACACCAAGAGCTTGTCCCATTCAAGTTGTGTTCTGTTGACGGACACAAGGACTCTCCACTACCATAGATACCATTATGTCACATCCTCTGAAGAAAAGCACCAGCCCTTACCTACAAAATATTATTTATTTTTATACATGGATATAATACACAGAATCCTTAAGGTATGTTTAATGTTTAACTATATCTAATGTTATCAGCAGTGTGAGTTTTTTATTGCTTTATTCTTGGACTAGTAAGGAAAGCCCTTGAAAGTCACTAAGTCTGTCTTTTGGGCAAGTGTTCATAAGTGTTTAATATGACTATCCATTACCAGTCTCTTTCTAGACATTTCTTTTTCTATCTCACTTATATCTTTCTCTTTTTATCTTTATCTTTTGGTACTGGGATCTACATCTTTCTTTCCTAATACATATTCATAGGGGGACATGTGTCAAGAAACCCAGAATTATATACTATTTACAGATAACACACATTTCTTTAAAATAATGAAATTTTCAAACTAGAAAGACACCATGTCATAGTGCTGACATTTTACTAGCTGTACCGCTTCAGAGAAAACACTTAAGTTCTCTGAGTTTCAGGAGGTGTTTTCCAATCTATAAAATGAAAATAATAGCATATACTATTTATATACTTTGAGAATATAGTGATAATGTTAGTAACTGAGGACTGAAGGGCCTGTATTACGAAGATATCAGAAACAAGACTTGATATGAAACTGCTCTCAAAGATACCTGCAAAAAATACTTAAAAGAATGAAGTTGCCTCACTCAGTCCTAGAAGCAAGCACTTGTTCTGCTATTAAAGTGACTAACAGTCTTGCCTGGTAAAGAACCTAAGAGCCTTAAAAATAAACAATACCACAGTACTACTACCCTTTATTGAGAACTAGCTGCACTACACACCGCGTTCACCTTCTTAAGCAATCTCTTTCTTTTAATCCTTCTTTTAGTCCTGGGTGGTAGCAAGGAGCATCCTTGTTTGACAGAAGAGGAAAGGCACACTTAGCTATGGTAACTTGCTCAAAATCACATAGCTACTAAGTGGTAGTACTAGGTCTCTAACGTAAGTCTATCTATCTTTAGAGTCTATTCTTACGGTGATGCCTTTTGAACTGTCCTTAAGTCATCAACTATTCCTAATGTGAACTGTCCATCAGGTCTGGTATTCAGCCAGGTTATGCATGGTTACACACCAGCAGTATATGCCACTAGCTTTTTGTCTATTCTTATTAGGTGGGTGTCTGTGGTCTGTGTCATACGAGTTGATTTTATGTATATGTAGATATAGATATAGATATATAGAATTATATAAAATTTTTAAAATATAAATTGTTATTATATATAAAATAAAAACATATAAATATATAATTATATATGCATCTATCTATCTATAGATAGATAGATAGATAGATACATATATTAAGACCAGGTCTGGCTATATAGACCAAGCTGCCCTTGAGCTCATGGTCTTCCTGCCTCTGCCTCTCAAATGCTGTGATCACAGACATGTGTACATACTTGCTAAATATCTTGAGCTCTATTGTCCTGACTTTCAATTTTGCCTGTTAGCTATGCTCCACCAAAAACCTACTGACACACATTTACATTTTTAGAGTGTGCATGTGCGTGTGTGTGTGTGTTGCTGGGGATCGAACCCAGAGCCTGTACATGCTAGACAAACACTCTACCACTGAGCTATACCCCTGGCACCACCACCCCACCCACACATTTAAAGCTTGATTCTAGCTCATACTTACCACCAAGGGACACTCTGCACAGGATCTCTAACTGAAAGTGTCACCACTTCCTTTTCTTCTGTTTCTCTCTGCCCTCGCTTCCACTAAGTCCCACCCGACTCCTTCCTACAGACCCTGTCTTCCTTCTCCTCCCATCTACTTGTCTGGATAGGAGAAATGAGAAATAGGCATGAACACGGTCTAGGTCTTCCATGGATCATCTGGAATCACCATTTATACCTACTAGGTACACAATAAATGGTAAATTAAACTAAAAAGATGGTCAAGTCTGTAAGATAAGATTGGGAGTTCTTTGACACTAAAAGAATTACCCTAAGCAATGGATTTATTTCTCAGTACTTACTTTGCCAATTCTGCACTCTCCTATGGCCTTCAAGTATTTTGTGGATAATGAGGATGATCAAAAATACAAAAACTAATAGAACTAAAATGTACCAAGTGATCTTCATGGCACAAGTGACATCTGTAAAGAAAAGAAGTACTATAAACATACAATAAAGTCATACAGCAAATAAGAGCCATGTGGTGGTACACTCCCTTTATGGAAAAGCCAAAAGCACAGCCTTAACTGTTATGGGTCACTTGCTCTCCTGAGTTCCATACTGATGTATTCAGTAAGGGTACTAAATGAGGAAACTTGACCAGATGACTTCTAGGGATCCATTTAGTTCTAAATTAGTCCATTTAGGACTAATTCAACTTACAGATTATGCTGATAGTTTCACTGCTATTGCTGTCACTAGGTCAAGACTACAACATAGCAGTCTCAGAATCAGAGCCATTTCTAATTAATAAAGGGGGCTGAGGAAGAAAGGGAAAGGCAGGGACTGAACTGAGGCATCTGACTGGCCAGGGCAGATGAATAACCAGACCTTCTTTCCACCAGGTAAATGATGGTTCAGTTTACATACCAATGATCAGATCAAGTGCATGCATTGAACATACAGTTCCCCTGGCCTAATCTAATAAGGACATGGGTATAGACTTGCTCATTCAGATGATAGTAAGGCAACGTAGAAAGATGACTACCATCCTGCAACCCCTGAGGATGGTCTGCCTTGGTCCTATAAAGATACACTGACCAGTAGACCCAAGAATCAGTGACTTCACAAGGATGACCTCACCTAGTCCAAAACACAAGTGTCTATAGACTTTCTAAGCCACCCTACATATCTTCTTCCTTGCACATAAAACACAACTAGTACTTCTTCAATTTAGCTTAATATATAATCTGTTTATATCCCCCAGATGACTGCCTTTGTGGGGTTCATGATTTAGGTATTCTCTTCACAGGAACCCACAATGTACACCATCATGCATCCAACATTTATCTAGAGAAGAGTCTGTGCAGAGAGAGAATATAAGTTGACGGGTGGCAGCCCTCAGCCTCCCAGTATCATTCCATGCTATCCAGCTACCAAGCTTGCTTTCCTTCCTCAACAGTAAGTGCCGTAAAAGTCAAGGTGTGCCCAGGGACCAAGGTGTCATTTGGCACTGATCAAACAGTGAAAAAAGAACCACGCACCCACCAACTTTGTATTGCAATAACAGAATATGCATGACTGGAACCAGGCCAACCAGATCTACCAATTTGTAGCATGAACTTAGAAGTGTTTATGTCTCCCAGCATCCCATGCTACCCCTCCTCATCCTGGCAACCATCTTTGAGAGGAACAGGAAGAAACAGACAGAACTCAAAGAAAATCTAGCATAACAGTTTAAAGTATTGTTTCAGTATAAATTTATAAGGGGAGTGGGCTCAATTTGGTTTCATTCTCTGATGGCGAGAGCTTTTAAGGGAAATCAAATTAGTCTTTGCACAGGATAGCAAAATATGAATAAATCTTTAATCTCCTTCACATAGCTAAATGGATATGCTTTTTCCAGAATTTAAGAGTACACATCTATGCACCATTGGTATCTTCCTGAATTGTGAACCCCCCAAAAGTTGATAACTATCTTTTCACTTTGAATCTAGACTATACAGATTTTTCCATTAACACAAAAATTAATTATGAAAGTGTTTGCCTTTTTTCTGTTTCAGAAAAACAAACAGTTAGATATAGACACAAATGTATACTGAAATAAATGTAAGCTTTTAAGATCTGTAATCCAAACCTCTATCCTTCACATTTCACTGCAGTCACCTTTTCCCTGCAGTCTTTCCAGAATCCACCTTTCCAATGTCACTCCTGAGCCACAGGGAACTGGCCCCTGTTTGTATCTTCTTGGGTCCCCTTCTCTCCATAAATATTCACCATGAAATACCCCCTAATTTTAGAAGCTATAGGGACCTGGGCAAACTAACTCACAGGATAAATTTCTCTAATGTCATACCTTACCATAAAAAAGGCAAGCATATTATATATTTATGTTTGCTTTAAGAATACTACTTTTTAAATAATTACTTTTAAAGTAATTAGGCTTTGGAAAAGTATCCTAAAGCAATCTGAAAAGCTTCCATATTTTCAGGTATCAAAAAGCACCACAATTGTTCTGTCATAGCCCTGTATCTATGATGCCCTTGCTTGCTCATGGGTGGGTCTTCCTCTTCTAGATTATTTTATGTTCATCTCACTCTGTGTCCCCAGTGCCTGGCACACTGCATAACATGCAGAAGACACTCACTAAGTGAATATATCATAACATGCTCTCCCCAATAGACTTTATTTTATTGCTTAGCAAAAAGAATTAATTGTAGTCATTCAGAATAGGGCGGCTAGGAAGTTAATCAGCCTTAAACAGAATTAAGATACGTGTAAGGTTATCTTTTCACCTACTTTTCCCTCAGAGTCATCTAGTGACTCTAAGTGTGTAATCTGCCCACTGTTACATCAAAAAGCTCATTTTTTCCAGGGTTGCTCTCAGCCCTGAGAGAGGACATGTTAAATCAACTCAGATTTAATAGCACATCACAGTGTACATGGATATTTAACTTTTAAAAGAAATCTCACCCTTTAGTACCCAGGTGTGATGATTTTTCCTCTAGCACAGCTAATAGGCATGTCTGAAGTTATGCCATAAAGAGCACATTTGGAAAGAAAAATAACAGATAAAAAGATTAATATGCTTTCAGGCCATGTTATTTCATTGATAAAATTTTTCAAGTTCAGTAAACTTGACAGCCCTTCCTTGATTGTATACGTTTACATCCAATTTCTCCTTTTCCCTCTAATTTCCTTCCAAACTTACTTTTTACATCCATTTCCATGTACAAATAAATGTGAATACAGTTGTCTGGATATTCCATAGTTCTACAGGTATAGTTTATAGGCCTTTCCTTGGTTGGATCTTCCTCCACAATTATTGATTTTCTAGTGTGAGTTTTTAGATTACAGGCAGTGTTATTTTCCTCCCATTGTTCAACTACAGGAATTACAGTGAAGTTAAAATGTTGACAAGCTGAATAAAAATCATTTGCTTTTCCTTCCATTGATCCTCTCATGATAAGACCTAGAAAGAAATTAAGAAAACACGATTTGCAAAACAGCAATACATATCAAAATCCAATTCAAAACTCTTTTTTCTATACAAGAAAGAAGCAAGAAGGTCCCTATACTGAAAACAATTATTAAAGCAATCTTGTTTTTTTAAGATCATGAAAGCCAGGTAGGGGTACAGCTGAAATAGGAGTGGAGCATCTCAAGACATTGTTCTGATGACTCGTGGGATCAACCATGTTTTCCAAATATTGACAATATTTCCCATCTCACACTGCTGTAGCAAAGTGCTATAACCAGATGGCTTAAAGAACAGAAATTTGTCTCACAATTCTAGAGCCTAGATGTGTGAGGTAAGATGTGGGCCAAGTGGAAAGACTGTGAGGAAGAACCTGTTCCTGCCTCTCTGCTAGCTTCCGATGGTTGCTGGCAATCGCTGGTGTTCATCGTAGAAGTATCACCTTGTTTTCTGCTTTCATTTTCAGAAGGCATTTGTCCCATGTGTGTGTCTGTATACAAATTTCTCCTTTTATATCAGTTGTATTGGATTAGGCATTCTAATGATCTCATATTAACAAAATTAAATCGACAATGATCATATTTCCAAATAATGTCACATTTTTAAGTATTGGGAGTTAGGACTTCAATAGATAAAAATTTGGACAACACACAATTCAACATAGCATGTGTTATCCTAAAACTTTACCACTCACCATAAGTAGGTAGAGTTTAATTCCCTCCTGTTTGAACCTGGAGGAAGTTGTTGTAACGAGCTTATTACCAATTACATGCACAGGAAATAACAGTAGGCCAAAAAAGGGTGAAGCAATTTGCCCTTTGTTCTTTGGAATGTGAACACTGCAGCCTGAGCCAATATGTAAAAGTTCACCAACTGAAGGTCACCTTGTTGTATGGAAGCCTCAAATGAGCCCAGCTGCAAAGATGACATAAAGAAAACAATGACCAGACAGAAGAAGCAACCAACAGAATGGGAGAACACATTTGCAAGCCATATCTCTAATAACAAAAAGAGTTAGTATTCAAAATATATAAGGAACTCCTGTAACTCAAACAAGAAAAGAAAAACAATAACCTGATTTAAAGTCAGGCAAATGTCAGGTGTGGTGCCACATAGCTGCAGTAGTCACAGCTATTTGGGAGGCCAATGCCTTGAGTCCAGGAATTTGAGGCAGCCTGGGCAACATAGTGAGGACCTTGTCTCAAAAGACACAAAAAAAAAAAAGCCACAAAAAAAGTGGGGGACAAAGGATTTAAATAGATACTTCTCCAAGAAGATACACAGATGGCCATTGGATGTGTGAAAAGGTGTCAACAACACTAATGGTCAGGGAAATGCATATCAACACCACAATCAGATGTCACCTCACACCTGTCAGGATGGCTATTATTTTAAAAAAAAAAAAGTACTGTTGAGACTGTGGAGAATTTGGAACTCTTGTACACTGTCAAGACATAAAATGGTCCCGTCACTCTGAAAAACAGTACATAAGTTCCTCAAAAAATTAAAAACAGAGCTACCATATGCTTCAGCAATCCCACTTCCTGGTATGTACAGAAAAGAACTGAAACTAGGATCTCACAGAGACATGTGCATCCCGTGTTCATTGCAGCATTAGTCATGATAGCCAAGACATGGAAACTAAGTATGCATTGACAGATGAATGGATAAAGAAAAATGGTACACACACACACACTATTCAGCCTTGAAAATAAGGAAATCCCATCACTTGTGACAGATGACAACATGGATGAAACTGGAGGACGTTATGCAAAGTGAAATAAATCAGACACAGAGCAAATACTGCATGGCTCCACTTGCCTGAGGTAGCCAAACTATTGGAAACTAAAGTAGCCAAACTATTTATTAGAAACATGAGAAGAATGGTGGTTGCCAGGTGCTTGGGCACAGGGGAAGCAGGGAGTTGCTGTCGAGTGGTTATAAACTTTCAGCTATGAAAACAACTGAGCTCTAGAGCTCTGTGTCCACCATGGACCCTAGAGTTAACGTATGCTAGTGTGCACTTAAAAATTTGGTAACAGGGTATGTCTCATGTTACGTGTTCTTAGCACATTAAGAATAAAAGACCACATTTAGAGAAACTCTGAGAGTTCGTGAAGAGAGAGACACACACCTGTCTCTAGCTGCTCTGGTTCTCTTGTCTTTTAGCACCAGTCACTGTGCAACTCCAATAGTATGAAGCAACTCAGGCTAGACATGCCCAGCTAGGCCCATTGTGAATTTCTAACAAGAAAGGAAAGAAAAAGAAAGGAAAAAAAAGAAAGAAGAAAGAGAGAGAAAGAGAAGAAGAAAGAAAGGAAGGAAGGAAGGGAGAGAGAAAGAAAGAGAGGAAGGAAGAGAGGTAGGAAGAAAGAAAGAAGGAAGAAAAGGAGAGAAAGAAAGAGGGAGGAAGAAAGGAAGAGAGAGAAGAAGGAAGAGGAGGAGGAAGAGGAGAAAGAAGGAAGGAAGGCAGGAAGAAAGGAAGAGAGGAAGGGAGGAAAGAAATACTAAAATGACTGCTGTCGTTTTAAACTATAAGTTTGGGGTGATGTGTTACACAGCTGTAGCAGCTGGAACTGTTCTCACATTTCGAAGAGCTGGAGAAGTAACATTTTTCAGCCACCAGCCATTAAACCTAGTGAGACCTAGTATGTTCTATCATCAGAGACATGTCCCAAATTTGCTTTTGGGTGAATTCAATAGAACCTGAAATGGTTACAGCACTACTTGAATAGGAACTTTATCCAAAGTCAATACTAAGAAACCTTATTCCTAGTCTCAAAAAATGAAGAAAATGCCAGTATCAAGTTGATACAGGAGGCAATCTTGCTGAATAGGTAAAGCAATAAATTGGATGTCTAGGCTTGAGGACCAGTATATTTTATGACTGTGAATGAATTACTTAATTTCTCAATGACCCAACTTGATTCAATTCAATTAAACAATATAGATTGATCTTATAATAGGCACTGCAGATAATATGTAATCATCCTTTCATTCATTCGTTCATTCATTCAACAAGTATTTACTCATTTTCTACTATGTATTACACCTGGCATTATACTAAAAGCTAGAGTTATAATAGTGAACAAAGTCAAAAGCCCTCCCCCCAAGAGGCTAACTAGAGAGACAGACAAATAAAAACAAAACTCATATTCAGGGAGAAAGGTTAAGTAAGAATAAGAACAAATGCATTCCTTCAAGAACCAAAGTTTGGTTTTATTATGAGAAACTACAGGTTTACTTAGAATTGTTTTCTTTAAAAACTTCACTACCTTTGAAGACAGGATGCTAAATAATCTTTTAAGTATCAAGTGTTAGTGAATTACAATGGCACTTTGATGTATTTTAAGAATAGATATTTTGTTTTTGATAAATCAAAGTAAACCAAGAATAGCTCAAAGTCCTTTGTTATCACTCATCAAGAACCGCACCACCGAGTGTTCCAATACTACTGGATTTTAAATGGAATATATTAACATTTTTTAACAGAATAAGTTAACTCATACTTGGTATATTTTATTCCCGCTGTCACAGTGTTTACCTTTTGATGTTTGTTCCTGAGAAATGAAATCCATATTTCCTTTGGACTCACAAATCATAAACAAGAAGCACGTTTTAAATTCACTTGTGATGTTTTGGCAAATCTTAGTGAAGTTTTGAAAATTGGAGTGATTTGGAAAGATTCCCATAATAGTCTGAGTTTCCCTTACTGGTTGCAGAAAAATCACAAAAGAAAAATTTAAGGAGGAGAGTGAATCATTGAAATTAGATTGCAAACTCACTTCCAGACAGGATAGCTCCAATGTTCTTCCTGTAAAGAAAATAAAAAAATACTTTCTTTACTGTGAAATGTATTCAAATAAATATGTAATAAGCTCCTGGGGTTTTTTTCCCCCCTTAGGTAGATTTTAGTTTATTAGTAATAAGACTTTGTTTTTACATGAATTAACATCTATAGCATTTATTTCTTTTTTAAATTTGTCAACATTTCTATTAATTTTCAGAGAAAGATATCTATGTAGGGAAGTGCTTGGAAACCCCAGCACTTTAACCATTTCTCTGTTCTGGAAAAATTTGAAGGCAACACTTAGGTTCTTCTGAATCCATTTGTTCCTAACTACAGACTCAGGTCAATTGCATAGAGTTGAACAGAGGATAAAAACCTCCGCCAGTATCTCTGTGCAGATTCCCAGCACTCCTGTAACAAATCACCACCACCTTGGTGGTCGAAAACAAGAGGAGTTCATTCACTCGCAGTTGTGGAGGCCACTTCCACTTGTTCAATAGTCTGAACAAGTCCGCAACATGGCACTTCCTGTGGCAGCTCTAGGGAAGATGGTTCCTTGGCCCTAGTGGCTGCTGGCATTCCTTGCCTTATAGCACATCACTTTGGTCTCTGTCTCTGGGTCACATTGCCTCCTCCTCTGTGACTTTTTTTCTACTCTTCTGCCTCTCTCAGATCTCCCTCTGCCTCTTTCTTATAAGAATTTTTGTCACTGGATTAAGGGCCATACAAGATAATCTCATCACAACCAGAGATGCCCTTTTTCCTTATATGGCAACACTTACAGGTTCTAAGATTTATCACCTGTTATCTTTGGGTGGCTATTATTCCACCTACAGAAAACTGGAAAGATGAAATTTTGTAAGGTGACTGCTAGAGTTTAGATCTAGAGTATTCCCCAAAGCCCAAGTGTTAAAGGCTTAGTTCCCAGCTTGGTGGTATGGGGAGGTGATGAAGCCTTTAAGAGGCACAGCCTAGTGGGGGTGGTTGGGAGCATGCCCTGGAAGGGGATATGGGAGCGACCAGTCATGAAGTGAGTCGCTCCACTCAACACAATCCTACCATGATGTGCTGCCTTACCACAGGCCCAAAGCAACGGGGCCAATGGACCAAGGACTGAAAGCTCCAAAACTGTGAACTAAAATAAACCTTTTCTCTTTACATATTGATTTATCTCTGGTATTTGTTACAGTGATCAAAAGCTGACTAGCATAGTGGCATCACAATTTTTATTTTTGTCTGAAGACAAACATCAGATAGGAAAATAATGATGTAACAGAAAGAACACTGAGATCAGAAACAAAGAACAAAGACTGATGCTTCTATGTCATCAGCCAAGATACTGGGACAATTTACTTAATCTGCATAGTCTAGTTTTCCCACTAGTGAAATAGCATTAAAAATCTGGATCCTATAACTTCATGGGGTGCTAGCAGTATCATGTAGTATAATACACAAGAAAACACTTTTTTTTAGTGGTATTGGATTTGAACTCAGGGCCTCACGTTTGGTAGGCAGGTGCTTTTACCACATGAGCCACTCCTCCAGCCCTTTTTTGTGTTGGGTACTTTTGAGATAGTATCTCTCAAACTATTTGCCTAGGCTGGCTTCAAACCATAATCCTCCTGATCTCTGCCTCTTGAATAACTAGGATTATAGGTGTAAGTTTCAGGTGCTGGGCCCTGAAAATACTTTTCACATTTGTACAAATGTGAAATTTGTACATATTATTTTAAAATGCAAATCTATATTCCAAAGTAAAAATGAAAGGACAATTTATTTTTAAAAAGTAAAAACTTATCCTTTATTTAGGATAATAGCTTCTGTGATTAAATTCATGCAAATAATCAAAACTTACTATGTAAAAATTGAGATGCCTCATTTAGCAGTAATGACCAAGTAAGGAACAGTAAACCTATCTTTCAGAAACTTCCATTCTGCCAGTTATTTGTTAGCATGAGAAAATGCTGGCATGGCCAATTCTACCTTTACATGGCTTCTTCGCATCTCTCATGTAACCAGAGGGGCAAAATAAGTTTTAATCGTGTTTTAAATGATTACTTCCAATCAAACATCTTAGTCCAAACTTAAAAGAAAGTCAAACTAGTGACTGATACTAACCCATTTTTTTATCAATGGAGTTTTATTTTAATGTAATAAATTTAAGTTATTATTACTTAATAAATTAAATGTTCATTTCCTAGCCTCTATATTTGAAATTGTTTCTATAATAATTCACACATAATTTCCAGCTATAAAGAAATTTCATAATTGAATTGCTATAAAGGTTTTTTTGGGGGAATGAAATTTTGCACAAATATACAATTTATTAGGTCTAATATATTTATTATCAAAGTTGTAATCAAATTATAACTATAATAAAAATATTGCCTTCAGTAAGCATGTCAAAGGAAGGAGATAGGATGTGCTATTTGATGAACTCTATAATTTATAGCCTTTTTAAATGTTACTAAAACACATGAAAAACATATTTCTTGCTGTCTTTTCATTTTCCTCACTGGCATCTTTCATCTTATGAGATTTTTCATCTTCTTAAATTTATATTGCTATGATAAGACCTAGAAAGGGGATAGAAAAAATTCTTACTGTCAGTATTAAAGTCTTCTTATTCAATAATTGACCTACTGGGTGTTTTAGAATTGATGATATATCCTTTACATTTGGCTATCAGGTCATTTCATGCTGGTTTTAAACCTCAGTTTTAAATAATTCAATTGGAAAGTAGATGACACATCCTTCCCTGAACTCTTTTTAAGAAATAAATAATTCAACCTAATCACTTTTGTCATTGGTGAGCTTTGTTCTCATCTTTATACAAAGACTCATGAATTTAACGGCTGCCATTAATATTTCTGGGATTTGGATATAGACGTTCTCACTCTCAGAGACGGAAATGTGTTCTAGAATGACTTCAGTACTAAGACTGCAAGCCTGCAGAGGAAGTATACAGAATACCAAATATAATTAGAAAAATACATAACAATATGAAACAAAGTCAATTACTTTCTCTTTTTAAAGGAAAGCAAATAGTAAGACTAAAGAAACATCAGCTATCTTCCTTAACTTTTATTACAAAAACATATCACACATATGTATGTACAAAATGGGTTGAGTCAGTTAAAGAATAACAAAAAATAAACAAATATCCACATACCTATTACCAGATTAAGAAATATATATTACCAATATCTTTGACACTCTTCTCTATCCCTCCCCATCACAGCATATTTTAGAAATATGTACACAGATACAGGAATATACTGTACATATTCTTCTGGGGTTTGCTTTTCTTGTTTGATATGTTTAAGTCATGTTGATACATTCAGCTGTAGCTAGTTATTTGGGGTATTCTCATGAATGAGTAGGCCATAATTTATTCATCCTTCTGACAGTGAACATCCTGGTTGTTTCCTTGCTTCTGCTGTTACAAATAATACTGTTGTGAAATGTAACTTTTAAACATTGTGGGTGGGAATATAAAATAGTACGACTACTTTGGGTATTTTCATTTTCTTATAAGTTAAATATTTTCTGACCGTATGACGCCAAAATTCCTCTCCTAGGAATTGATGCAAGAGAATAAAAACATAGTTACACAATAACTGCTTCCATGAATGTAAGTTTTTATAGTATCTTTTAAATTTTATAATTGCCAAGAACTGAAAACAATCCAAAAATTCCAACAGCTAATGAATATATAAGCAACTTCTGATGTATTCAAAAAATGAAATATCACTCACTGACAAAAGGAAGAGCACCTACCTAGCAAGTGTGAGGCCCTGAGTTCAAGTTCCAGTACTTGTGATTTTGGGTCACAAAAATGGAACTTTGGGTACCTGAAGGAGATTTGACAGGAAAGGACAGAAGGAATCTTTATAGGGATGATGAAAATCTATATATAATGGGGTAATAGTTACATAAACACATTCAAATGCCAAAAATCATGAAACTGAACACGTAAGGTCTTTCCATGTCATTGTATGTAAATTATACCTTTTAAAAACCTAGTCAATCAACAGATACTAAGTTATAGCTACGAAAAAAAAAGTTCTTGTGATCTATTACACTGTATAGGGTGACTATGGATAACAAAAACGTACTATTCCAAAAAAGCCAGAAGAAAGATTTTGAATGTTATAACCCTAAAGAAATGACAAATATTTGAGGAGACGGAAGTGTTTGCCCTGATTTGAACATTACAGATGCATACACACATATATCAACACGTCACATGGGTCTGGACTGCTGGCTCATTATGTAATCCTAGCTCCTTGGGAGGCTGAGATCAACAGGATTACAGTTCAAGGACACCCTGGGCAGGTGGTTTAAGAGACTTAATCTCCAAAATAACCAGAGCAAAATGGACTGCAGGTGTGGCTCAAGCAGTACAGTGTCTGCTTTGTAACATGAAGCCCTGTGTTCAAAAAAATCACAGGGGGCCCCATAAACATGTACATTTTTTATGTATGAGTAAAAAAAAATGAGATAAAACAGTCAATTGTTTCTACAGATCTCTCATCATTATTGGACATTCCATAGCATAATTCAGCAATTTAATTATATTAGCTGTGAGGATAGGAGAGACCTTATGACTTTGCTGCCTAATTTACAGAGCTACTCATTAACATAGGTTGTGGATGGGAAGTGGAGCTGTGGCATCAATCAGATCAGAGCCAGGAAGGACAAGATGGTCTGATTCAGAGGGTAATTGGGGAAAGCCCATTGAAAATGTTTGCTGAGGGCAGTGGCAAAGCTTTGGGTGACTTTCAACTTATTGCAATAGCGTTTGAAAGGCAAGTTTCAAATTTGGGACATAAGAACAAGACCGCTCATTTTACTTATCAAAACAAGGAAGTAAGTGCACATTATAAAGTTCCCATAAATAAAGCCAACGGCAGGAAAATGACTCAGGGTAAAGAGAAACATATCTCTTACGTAAAACATTCTGTGAAATAAACTTCACAGGCTTTACAACCTAAAGATTCTGTTTGTAGAAAAAGAAAAAA